TAAAATTAATTCCTCATTAATTATTGCGAAAATCGCAAAATGATAATGGACTTTTCTATTCGGTTTAAACCCCTCTACCTACACCCGAGAAGTGATTCAGCAATTATCGGACACCCTGTATGTATATAACATGAACTTGGCAATACTTGTCACGAGCATTTACTAAATTTCTAAATAAAAACATCGCGTTTCATGCTCTCCTATTGGTCACTTTCAACCTTTAATTATTCCTACAATTTTATAACCTAAGTATTAATTTTTATGTTTTATGAATTTACTCTTTGCCAGGAATATGCCCTTTTTCGCTGTAGCGAGAGTTGTAGGACACCCTGTGTATATATACATATATATATATATTGAATAGGTTGATTTATTCACTGTTTTCGTTTCATAAATTATTTTCCCGTAATCACTACAAGCGAAACTTCAAGGTGTAATATGCGCTGATAGCTAACTTATATATGACAACGCGCTGCGCACGAAATGCAGCGATTATCTATAAGGGTGTAATGTGGAAGGGATGCTTTAGCAACAATTTTAGTTAATTTTTCTTTCTCAAATATGTGATAACACGTCATTTGTATATTTATTTAACGACTATTGCGCAACACAAGTGCGGTATAAACGATGCGTCATGCAGCGCGACGCATATAGTGGGATACTGATAACTCATTTTTGAAAGATGCGATTTCGGAACATAATAAAATCATATATAGTTGAATTCAGCGTAAAAAATGCTACAACTTTTGTCATTACAAAAATTTTGAAATTTAAAAAAATAAGACGTGGAAGAAATAAAAAAATTACATTTTTTGAAAATCCAACTACACAGTTATAAAGACCATTACAAGCCATACAATTTCTATTTGAAACATTTTTTGATATCTCCTACGGTTTTGGCGATATTTACACACAAAGAAAAAACCCGTTTTTTTTCAAAGGGGTGTTTCACCCCTTAAATTTGAGTTAGGCCACTATAAAAAAATACGTGTCTCCTCAAATTGTATGTTTTACAACATATTTCAAAGAGAATCAAATCGGGGGGGGGGGACACTTGTGAACGTTCCCTTGTTAGTTTCTACCTGTGCAAGTTAGTTTCTACCTACACAAGCGCTTTGTCAAAATTCTTGGGACACTCTATATAGTCATCTTTATTTCGTATTTTATAAAATAATGAGTATATATTATTTCAGTCATTTGTTGTGCGTCGAAAGACCACAACTAAATTACTACTTAAACAATTTTATTGTTTTATTATTGAGGCCACTAAAACTAAACCGATAAATATAAAAGCAAGATTACTTAATCAATTGTCAGGACGCTGATACTCATTTTTAGAAGACCGAATACCACCTGCACCCAAACTAGATTAGACAGATCAGCATTGTGGGCGGCAAAACGGGTATATCGCTAAAGCGGCCATGCTGTAACAAAAGGCCGATCTGTATAAATAAGCGCGACAAACAAGGCGCCGCGAGTTAATCATCTGTCAATTACATTGCGAGCACATACGTTAGTAAACCGCAAAATAATTAATCGAGATACGCATACTTCTTAGCAAGCAACGCGAAGTAACCGATCAAGGAAGTAAAGTGTAGAGATAAATAAATAAAAAGCAATTTATTTCTAAGCAAGTGACAAGAGTAAAGTTCTTCGGATCAACCCCCTTAATCTGCCTCGGCGAATCTCGAATCCTTAAAGTTTGCGCTAATCACCAGAAGGCGCAACAAAATTGGTGGCAGCGGTGAGATTCATCATCTCCACCATAAGTCCCGATGGTCTGGATACCTTGGTGGTCTGGGCACGGCAGCAGCTGGACTAAGAAGATCAACCCGAAAAACAAGCTGAGCTGAAACATCAACACAACAGTAGTATAGCTATGGGAGATCTGACCCAGGGCATTTGAGGGGGTGCGCGGGTGAAGGGAGGAAGAGGTTGAGGTGGAGGGGGTAATTCTGGAGGAGAGGGGGTAAATTTGGAGTGGAGGAGGTGACGAGGGAGATGAGGGGGAAAGGGAAGGTACCGGATTACATAAATTCCTGGAAGAGATAAGAATTCCTGGAAGAGATAAGATAAGGATTGTTTATATAAACATGAGTTATATAGAGATAAGGATTGTTTATACAAAGGGTATCGGATTACACTGCGTCAGCACTTTTGGAGTGGTGGGGGTGACGAGAGAGGTGAGGGGGAGAGGGGAAGGTATCGGATTACATCAATTCCTGGAAAAGATAAGATAAGAATTGTTTATATAAGCATGAGTCATAGAGAGATAAGGATTGTTTATACAAAAATGATTCATATTTCCGAGAATTGTTTATATCCTTTGCAGGTTCGTGCAGGTTTTATCTACGCATCAAAGTAAAGCACCTGTAGAAATTACATCATCGCTATTTTTAGAAAATATAATGGAGGGGGTGATAAGGATTGTTTACACAAGTTTTAGGCGACGCCATGTTGCCAGATTTCAATTTGTGTGACACTATTTTTAGATCATAGACCCTTAGGCAGCCACTTTTAGGCGCCATGTTGCCAGATTTCAAGTTGTGTGACATCATCGATATTTTTTTTAATTAGTGTCGTGTGCAACGAGCGGGTATAAAAAACTCGCGGAAAATACAAATTGTCACAGTTGTTCAAAATGGAACGTGATCTCACCGTTCGAGCTGCAAACATTAAAACGTTGGGAGAGTTTTTACCATGGGACTACGAGTGCGACGAGTACATCGATTCTCTGAGAGAAAAATGTCGCAAGAAGCAACGAACCGGAGTAGTCAACTCTCTGGTGGCGCAAATTGTGCGTCTGGAAGGTGTGAGGAACACCCTGCATGAGCGATTCGTGTCCATCGGTGCTGGATACGGCGGATACGAGAAGAAGGGCTACACGTGGAAGGAGATCGAGACGACGTTTAGGAACCGTGTGCTGACGGGTGCGGTTGTCAATTCCGACTTCATCGATCCTCGTGAATTTTTGGAAAATATAAGAAATACGATTATTGAGCGGATCCAGAGCGTCATGGCGGAGCATGGGAACGTTAAAATCAACACCGCGTTTAACGGGGAATTTATCGCAGGTGACAAGACAGCCGTGAAGACCATCACCACGAAGAATCAAGAGATACATCCAACATCTGATTTACAAGAGAGGTACACGAAGCATGTGGTTGACGTCATACAGGCATCTCTGGAGGAGTTTCAGGAACGCGACAGCGGATGGGCGTTGTCACGTATCCTGAACCTAACAATCAAAGTCAACAAGTTGAATCCTCTACGCGCGGGATGCCACATCGAGTTACCGCGGAAAATTATGTTAAAAAAGGCGGTGGTCAACGTGAAATCAAACGATAATACGTGTTTCGCGTGGGCAGTGGTAGCAGCTTTACATCCAGCGGAAAAGTACCCGGAAAGAGTATCGCAGTACCCGCACTATTCAACGGTGCTGAATCTGTGTGGTATCGAGTTCCCCGTGACGCTGCCACAAATATCAAAGTTTGAGAAACTAAACGCCATCTCCGTCAACGTCTTTACCACCCAAGACTCCAAAATCGTCCCTCTGCGGCTCACCGACAACAAGAAGGAGAAGCATGTCAATTTGTTGTACGTGTACGGAAACAACAATGCACATTTTGCATGCATAAAGAATATGTCGCGGTTGGTGAGCTCGCAATTGAGCAAGCGAAATGGCAAAAAGTACATTTGCGATCGGTAAGTAAAAATATACGTATAAAATAATTCGAAACTTTATTCGTAGTTTTAATCATACAAATTATTACAGGTGTCTACATTACTTTTATACACAGGAGAAATTATCGGCGCACAGCGTCGATTGTGGCAAGATGAACGATTGCGCCGTCGTTCTCCCCAGCGAGGACAAAAAGTGGCTGACGTTCAGCAACTACAACCGGAAGGAGCGGCTCCCGTTTGTAGTGTACGCCGATCTCGAATGTACGCTCGAGAAGAAGGATGGACAAGACGGCACCACATACGCCTATCAACATCACAAGGCGTTTAGTGTAGGATATCATGTAAGTTGTACGTACGATAATTCTTTATCTAGTTTTAAGTCTTATCGCGGTGAGGATTGCGTGGCGTGGTTTGTCAATGAACTCCACGATTTGGCGCGCCGTGTGAAAACGATCCTCACCACCGTCGTCCCCATGGCGGATCTTATGCGGGAGGAATCGGAAAAGTTCCGTAGCACCGCGATGTGCCACGTGTGCGAGAAACCGTTTACACCGGATGATACGCGGGTGCGCGATCATTGTCATCTTACCGGGCGTTACCGCGGTGCCGCGCACTCGTCGTGCAATTTAAATTACAAAGATTCCCACGTTATCCCGGTGATATTTCACAATTTATTCGGTTACGACGCGCATTTCATTATTAAAGACGTTGCCAATGCTTTCGAAGGCAACATTAATTTACTGCCGCTGACGAAAGAACGTTACATTTCATTCACTAAAAACGTTAAAGATACGGAGGATAAAAATTCCAAAATTTGCGTGAAATTGCGGTTTATAGATTCGTTTAGATTTCTCAGTACAAGTCTTGAAAAATTGGCATCATATTTAACTATAGATGAATTGAAAATTTCACGATCGGAATTTAGCCATTTATCCGCGGAAAATTTCAATCTGCTTACGCGCAAAGGTGTGTTTCCCTACGAGTACATCGACAGCGTCGACAAGCTCCGGGACACAAGCCTACCATCGCGCGAATTGTTTACAGTTCGTTGACCGGAGAAACGGTATCCGAGAGCGATTACGCGCACGCGACAAACGTTTGGCAGACTTTTTCGATCGAAGATCTAGGTCAATACAGCGATTTGTATTTGAAAACAGACGTTCTTTTGTTGGCGGATATTTTCGAAAATTTCCGAAACACGTGTATAAAGAGTTACGGTTTAGATCCCGCTCAGTATTACACATTACCGGGGTACACGTGAAACGCTATGTTGAAGTACACGCGCGTAAAATTACGAGTTGCTCACGGACATCGATATGGTGTTGTTTGTCGAGCGCGGTATACGCGGCGGTCTCAGCCAATGCTCCAACCGATACGCCGCCGCCAACAACAAATACATGTCATCGTACGATCCATCGAAACCGTCATCGTACTTAATGTACTTTGATGTAAACAACTTGTACGAGTGGGCAATGTGTCAACCGCTGCCCTACGCCAAATTTCGGTGGGTCGAAAATATCGAAAACTTTGACGTAATGTCCGTTGCATCCGATTCGGCCACCGGTTACGTGCTGGAAGTCGATCTCGAGTATCCGGTGAATCTTCACGATGCGCACGCCGACCTGCCGTTCTGCCCGACGCGCGATAAGCCGCCCGGCAAGCGGGAGCTCAAGTTAACACTGTACGATAAGCAGCGATACGTCATCCATTACCGTAACCTGCAGCAATGCGTGCTACATGGTCTGCGAATTGCAAAGATTCACCGCGTACTGCAATTTGTGCAATCTCCATGGCTCCGCAGATACATAGAATTAAATACGCAGTTTTGGACACGGGCGACAAACGATTTTGAGAAAAATTTATACAAATTGATGAACAACGCGGCAAAACCATGGAGAATGTGCGAAATCACACGGATGTACGGCTCGTTACACAGTGGGAGGGTCGGTACGGAGCGGAGGCTATGATTGCCAGACCAAATTTCCACAGTCGAAGCGTGTTCTCGGAGAATCTAGTCGCCGTAGAGTTGCGAAAACTCGAAGTGAAATTCAACAAGCCGATCTACGTGGGTATGTGTATCCTCGACATATCCAAGACCTGCTTGTACGAGTTTCACTACGAGTACATGGCGCCTCTCTATGGCAACAATTGTAAAATTTTGTACACCGATACCGACAGTCTGATATACTTTCTACAATGCGAGGACGCGTATCGGGATATGAAACGCGATATATCCAAATTCGACACGAGCGACTACTCCGAGGACAACGTTTACGGTATATACCGCGCGCCAACAAAAAAGTACCCGGTCTGATGAAAGATGAGAATAACGGCGCGATCATGACGGAATTTGTCGGACTGAGAGCGAAAATGTACGCGTTGAGAGTCACCGGACAAAAAGATACAAAAAAGGTGAAAGGCGTAAAGAAAAATGTAGTCGCTAGAACGATAACGTTCGACGATTACACTCGGTGTCTCAACGACGAAATCGAGCTGACGCGGCGTCAATTGTGCATCCGCTCAAAGATGCACGAGGTGTACACCGTGTCGGAGTCAAAGCTCGCGCTCAGTCCGTACGACGATAAGCGGCACGTCGTATCCGGTTCCACCGACACTCTACCATGGGGTCATCACAAGATACAATTGTAAATAATGTGTAGTAATTTATATAGTTTAATATTTTATGTATTATTATCGTTGTTAGTTTAAATGTATATATTGTAACATGTTGTAGTAATAAAGAACATCATTGTATATATGTGTAATAGTTTATTATAATACAATGTAAAATATACATAGTTTATTACAATACATCGTCTTTATTTATCCAAGAATTATGCGAATTGTCGAATCCCAACCACTTTACAAACACCTTATCGTCCTTTCAGCGCAACACCTTCTCCACGAGATAAACGTCGGGTTGTGCGGTCTTGAGCAATTCGTACTCGTAAAAGCCTCCCGCGACTGGATCTCCGCGATAATCCTTAATCAGATACGTCACAGGATTGGTACGTTGCACCGTGGCGATCTTAAACACCTCCGTCGACTAATTCGGCGTGTATCCTTTCTCGAATACAGTTTTGAATTTGCTCACGCGCACCGAATCACCCACCCTGAATTTCGCCGGCGCGGCAATTTTTATATTACTGTACACGGTGCTCAAGAGTCCCTTTGCGATCTCGGGAGTGACATCGATCGGGCGCATACCGATCGTACGATGTTTACGACCGTTGTATTCCGAGACCAATCGCGGTAAATCGTCGATCCACTTGTACGATCCCGCGAGCGTGAAAAACTTCCACATTTCGTTCTTCAACGTGCGATTCAATCGTTCCACCACCGAAGCCTTCATGACCGAGTATGTCGAATAATGATTGATGCCGTGG